TGTAAATGTTGCTCCTCCGTGGCTCGTGGTCGAGTCGTCTCCACTTCCTTCTCCAGACGCCTGAAAACCAGACTCAGACTCAGACCTGGTCCAGACTCAGACCTGGTCCAGACTCAGACCTGGTCCGGACTCAGACCTGATCCGGACTCAGACCTGGTCCAGACTCTGCACCTGTTGTTGATCCAAATGTTGCAGTAAAAAGTTGAAACAGTTTTTGTTTGTTTGGACAGAGCGCCCCCTGGTGTCCAGACACAAGAGGTCACACACAGAGAGACAGCTGTGGTACAGACTGGGACCAGTCCGGGTTGAGTCCTGGTTGAGTCCTGGATCAGACTGGGTCCAGACCTGGTTTAGTCTTGGTTTAGACCTGGTTCAGTCCTGGTTTAGTCCTAGTTTGGACCTGGTTCAGTCCTGGTTTAGTCCTAGTTTGGACCTGGTAGAGTCCTGGTTTAGACCTGGTTCAGTCCTGGTTTAGTCCTGGTTCAGTCCTGGTCTTGTTATTCACCAGTTCTTCATCGTCCTCGTCATCTTCACACTGTCGTTCTGCAGCTCGAGGATCTCCCACGACTCGCAGCTCACTGATGACCCCCTGTGGACAGCACAGGTACTACAGCTTAAAACACAGGTACTACAGCTTTAAACACAGGTACTACAGCTTTAAACACAGGTACTACAAGTTTAAACACATGTACTACAGAGTTAAACACAGGTACTACGGCTTTACACACAGGTACTACGGCTTTAAACACAGGTACTACAGCTTTAAACACAGGTACTACAGCTTTAAACACAGGTACTACAGCTTAAAACACAGGTACTACGGCTTTAAACACAGGTACTACAGCTTTAAACACAGGTACTACAGATTTAAACACAGGTACTACAGATTTAAACACAGGTACTACAGCTTTAAACACAGGTACTACCGCTTTACACACAGGTACTACAGCTTTAAACACAGGTACTACAGCTTTAAACACAGGTACTACCGCTTTACACACAGGTACTACAGCTTTAAACACAGGTACTACCGCTTTACACACAGGTACTACAGCTTTAAACACAGGTACTACGGCTTTAAACACAGGTACTACAGCTTTAAACACACACACACAAACAGACACAAACACACACAGACACACACAGACACAAAAACACACAAACACACACACACAAAGACACACACACACACACACACAGACACACAGACACACAAACACAAAAACACAGACACAAACACAAAGACACACACACACAAACACACACAGACACACACACACACATGCACACACACACACACAGACACACAAAGACACACACACACACACAAAGACACACACACATACACACACACATAGACACACAGACACACACACAGACACACACACACAGACAAACACACACACAAACACACACACAGACACACAAACACACACACACAGACACACACTCCCTCTCACCTCAAACTTATCGGGGTCCGCTCCTCCGGCCTGTCCCACGAACACCCCGGCCCCTGGCTCTAGAGGCAGGGCTCCCAGGGGCCTCTGCAGCCGCGTCACCTGAGGCTCTCTCTCACAGTTCAGATAGAACCGCACTGTGTCCTGCTCCACAGACAGAGCCAGGCGGGTCCACTGGTCCTGCAGGGACCTCAGAGGGAACCGAGCCACCTCCTGGGACCGCTCTGAACCAGCACCAGACAGGAACAAGATCACCTGCGGGACACCAGAGAGACACCATGTGAGAGACCAGAGAGCAGAAAGACCAGAGATACACCATGTGAGAGACCAGAGAGAGACCAGAGAGAGATCAGAGAGAGACCAGAGAGAGATCAGAGAGAGACCAGAGAGAGACCAGAGAGACCAGAGAGAGACCAGAGAGACCAGAGACCATAGAGAAACCAGAGAGAGACCAGAGAGAGACCAGAGAGAGATCAGAGAGAGATCAGAGAGAGACCAGAGAGACCAGAGAGACCAGAGAGAGACCAGAGAGACCAGAGACCATAGAGAGACCAGAGAGAGACCAGAGAGAGATCAGAGAGAGACCAGAGAGACCAGAGAGAGATCAGAGAGAGACCAGAGAGACCAGAGAGAGACCAGAGAGACCAGAGAGACCAGAGAGAGATCAGAGAGAGACCAGAGAGACCAGAGAGACCAGAGAGAGAGACCAGTGTTGTTTACCTCCTGGTTGTTGTCCTGCACCTCCGACAGCTTGACGCCCACATAGATGATCCTCTGAGTGCTGTCAATCACAGAGAAGACCACGCCCCCTTTGGAGGAGGTGGGCTTGAGGTGGAAGAGGAGGGAGAAGCTGAGGTGGAAGGGGTTGGGGAGGTGCGCCCTGGCCAGCTGTCCCGTGTTAGAGTCCACTCCAAACACATACCCAGGGGCGTCGTCCGGACCGAAGACCTGCGAGATCTCGTCTGGAGGCGGGTCTCCAATCAGCTGCAGCAGAGAGACCCCACTGTCCTCTGCGGAGGGAGAGAGAGGGGTGAGAGGAGGGAGGGAGAGGAGAGAGGAGAGAGAGGAGGGAGAGGAGAGAGAGGAGTGAGAGGTGGAGAGAGGAGTCAGAGGTGGAGAGAGGAGGGAGGGAGGAGGGAGAGGAGGGAGAGAGAGGAGGGAGAGGAGGGAGAGGAGAGAGAGGAGTGAGAGGAGGGAGAGAGGAGAGAGAGGAGGGAGAGGAGAGAGAGGAGGGAGAGGAGGGAGAGAGGAGTGAGAGGAGAGAGAGGAGGGAGAGGAGGGAGAGGAGTGAGAGGAGGGAGAGGAGAGAGAGGAGTGAGAGGAGGGAGAGGAGAGAGAGGAGTGAGAGGAGGGAGAGGAGAGAGAGGAGTGAGAGGAGGGAGAGGAGAGAGAGGAGGGAGAGGAGAGAGGAGGGAGAGAGGAGGGAGAGGAGGGAGAGGAGAGAGGAGGGGAGAGAGGGGTGAGAGGAGTGAGAGGAGGGAGAGGAGAGAGAGGAGGGAGAGAGGGGTGAGAGGAGGGAGATGAGTGAGAGGAGGGAGAGAGGAGAGAGAGGAGTGAGAGGAGGGAGAGGAGAGAGGAGGGAGAGAGGAGGGAGAGGAGGGAGAGGAGAGAGGAGGGAGAGAGGAGTGAGAGGAGGGAGAGGAGAGAGAGGAGGGAGAGAGGGGTGAGAGGAGGGAGAGGAGTGAGAGGAGTGAGAGAGGAGAGAGAGGAGTGAGAGGAGGGAGAGAGGAGTGAGAGGAGGGAGAGAGGGGTGAGAGGAGGGAGATGAGTGAGAGGAGGGAGAGAGGAGAGAGAGGAGTGAGAGGAGGGAGAGAGGAGTGAGAGGAGGGAGATGAGTGAGAGGAGGGAGAGAGGAGAGAGAGGAGTGAGAGGAGGGAGAGGAGAGAGGAGGGAGAGAAAAGAGAGTTCATCGAGCAAAACACCATGTCTGAGACCTATCAAAATAATGAGACTATATACTTTGTGAGAGACCAGAGAGAGACCAGCGAGAGAGACCAGAGAGAGACCAGAGAGAGACCAGAGAGAGAGACCAAAGAGAGAGACCAGAGAGAGAGACCAGAGAGAGAGACCAGCGAGAAAGACCAGAGAGAGAGACCAAAAAAAGACCAGAAAAATACCAGAAAGAGAGACCAAATAGACATCAGAGAGAGACCAGAGACAGACCAGAGAGAGACCAGCGAGAGAGACCAGAGAGAGAGACCAGAGAGAGACCAGAGAGAGAGACCAGAGAGAGAGACCAGAGAGAGAGACCAGAGAGAGAGACCAGAGAGAGAGACCAGCGAGAAAGACCAGAGAGAGAGACCAAAAAAAGACCAGAAAAATACCAGAAAGAGAGACCAAAAAGACATCAGAGAGACACCAGAGACAGACCAGAGAGAGACCAGAGACAGACCAGAGAGAGACCAGAGAGAGACCAAAGAGAGACCAGAGAGAGACCAGAGACAGACCAGAGAGAGACCAGAGAGAGACCAGAGAGAGACCAGCGAGAGAGACCAGAGAGAGAGACCAGCGAGAAAGACCAGAGAGAGAGACCAGAGAGAGAGACAAGAGAGAGAGACCAGAGAGAGACCAGAGAGAGAGACCAAAAAAAGACCAGAAAGAGAGACCAAATAGACATCAGAGAGAGAGACCAGAGACAGACCAGAGAGAGACTAGAGAGACACCAGAGAGAGACCAGAGAGAGACCAGAGAGAGACCAGAGAGAGACCAGAGACAGACCAGAGACAGACCAGAGACAGACCAGAGAGAGACCAGAGAGAGACCAAAGAGAGACCAGAGAGAGACCAGAGACAGACCAGAGAGAGACCAGAGAGAGACCAGAGAGAGACCAGAGACAGACCAGAGAGAGACCAGAGAGAGACCAGAGAGAGACCAGAGACAGACCAGAGAGAGACCAGAGAGAGACCAGAGAGAGACCAGAGACAGACCAGAGACAGACCAGAGACAGACCAGAGACAGACCAGAGAGAGACCAGAGAGAGACCAGAGAGAGACCAGAGAGAGAGACCAGAGAGAGACCAGAGAGAGACCAGAGAGAGACCAGAGAGAGACCAGAGAGAGACCAGAGAGAGACCAGAGAGCGAAAGCAGGTAGAACATGCTTTCCACCAGCGACTGTAACTTTCTGTGCTGCCACAAGAGGGAGCTGCAAACAACAAAAAATGTTCCTGAAAAATTACCATTCAGTAATTTATGGGCAATAGTTCTGTTTAAACGTCTCTCTCTCTGGTCTCCCTTTGGTCTCTCTCTGGTCTCCCCCTGGTCTCCCTCTGGTCTCTTTCTGGTCTCTCTCTTGTCTCTCTCTCTGGTCCCTCTCTCTGGTCTCCCACTGGTCTCTCTCTGGTCTCTCTCTGGTCTCTCTCTGGTCTCTCTCTCTGGTCTCGCTCTCTGGTCTCTCTCAGGTCTCTCTCTCTGGTCTCTCTCTCAGGTCTCTCTCTGGTCTCTCTCTGGTCTCACTCTGGTCTCTCTCTCAGGTCTCTCTCTGGTCTCTCTCTCTGGTCTCTCTCTCAGGTCTCTCTCTGGTCTCTCTCTCTGGTCTCAGTCTGGTCTCACTCTGGTCTCTCTCTCAGGTCTCTCTCAGGTCTCTGTCAGGTCTCTCTCTGGTCTCTCTCTGGTCTCTCTCTGGTCTCACTCTGGTCTCACTCTGGTCTCTCTCTGGTCTCTCTCTCTGGTCTCTCTCTGGTCTCTCTCTGGTCTCACTCTGGTCTCACTCTGGTCTCTCTCTGGTCGTGGGAGCCACAATGTGAGGAGGATTGACAGCTCAAATACACTTAAATATGTGATAAGACCCGCCTCCTGCTGTCCCATTGTCTGCAGCTCAGACCACCCCCAATCCACTGTCCACACCAGCAACTGCAACCATGGGGAAGACCAGCGAGACCAGAGCGAGACTAGCGGCTGGGACTCACCATGGGGAACGTGAGGTTTTAATCATATTTGAACCATCTATCATCAACAATATGTCCAGAGACCAGAGAGAGACCAGAGACCAGAGAGAGACCAGAGAGAGACCATAGAGAGACCATAGAGAGACCATAGAGGGACCAGAGAGAGACCATAGAGAGACCATAGAGAGACCATAGAGGGACCAGAGAGAGACCATAGAGAGACCATAGAGAGACCATAGAGGGACCAGAGAGAGACCAGAGAGAGACCAGAGAGAGACCATAGAGAGACCATAGAGAGACCATAGAGGGACCAGAGAGAGACCAGAGAGAGACCAGAGACCAGAGAGAGACCATAGAGGGACCAGAGAGAGACCAGAGAGAGACCAGAGACCAGAGAGAGACCATAGAGGGACCAGAGAGAGACCAGAGAGAGACCAGAGACCAGAGAGAGACCATAGAGGGACCAGAGAGAGCACATAGAGGGACCAGAGAGAGACCATAGAGAGACCATAGAGGGACCAGAGAGAGACCAGAGAGAGAGCAGAGAAAGACCAGAGGGACCAGAGACCAGATAGAGACCAGAGGGACCAGAAAGAGCATTGTTTATAGTCTAGAGCAGCATCTGTTCTGATCAAAGTCTCGTCATCTTTTCCGTCTGGTGATAAAGGTCTCGCTGCAGATGTTGCTGGTGTCGCTGCAGATGTTGCTGGTGTCGCTGCAGGTGTTGCTGGTTACGACAGAGGGTGGAATGGTTGGAGACAAAGGCTGACGAGTGATGGTAGAATGCCTCAGGGCGGCTGTGGCGGGTCCAGACACGCTCACGTCTGGATCCAAACTTATGGAACAAACTGGAGCCAAAACCTCCTGGGCTGAGTCGTTTACTCTCATTCATGTTCCAGTCCCCTACATCTGTCCTCACAGGGAAAAAAGAACCACTGCTCGCTCACTTGGTCTGAGTGGGACTGCGGACAGAGATGGGCTCGTCTGGTATTCCCCACATGGTTTTAGATCAATAGTGACACTTTCTTCATTGGGAGATCTATAAATGTTATATCTTTACTTTTCTACAAATGTTACAAGAAAAGCACCCGTAGAGCACAGACCTCTGTCAAGAGGACCAAAGTCTAGCCACAATCACGACAGCAGTTGTCCATTTACCAACAGCAGATTTGAAAATCCAATATGTCTATAGTTAGTTCATCAGAGCCAAAATGTCCTTTATGGTACTATGGGTCCTTCATAATTGTATGAGCCCTTCATGGTACTATGAGTCCTTCATGGTAATATGGGTCATTCATGGTACAATGAGTCCTTCATGGAACTATGAGTCCTTCATGGTACTATGAGTCCTTCATGGTACTATGAGTCCTTCATGGTACTATGGGTCCCAGTGATCTCACAGTAAACCACAGTGTAGCTGAGGAAATGGAAAGTATGTTCCATTCCAGACCAGAGGAAGACCAGAGAGAGACCAGAGAGAGACCAGAGAGAGACCAGAGAGAGACCAGAGAGAGACCAGAGAGGGACCAGAGTGAGACCAGAGAGGGACCAGAGTTAGACCAGAGAGAGACCATAGAGAAACCAGAGAGAGAGACCAGAGAGAGACCAGAGTTAGACCAGAGTTCTTCAGTCCAGATGAACAGGTGCAGCTCTGTGTGAGTCATATATTTGTCCCAAACACAGTTCTCTGATGAAGGCCTCATGATGTAACCTCTACAGGTGTTTGACCCGGTCCCCAGTGTGTAACACACACACACACACACACACACACACACACACTCTGGTCTCTCTAGTCTCTCTCTGGTCTCTCTCTGGTCTCTCTCTGGTCTCTCTCTGGTCTCTCTCCGGTCTCTCTCTGGTCTCGGTCTCTCTCTGGAGATGCCAGAGTCGTGGTCACACTGAGTCCGGACTCACAAAGCTCTGGAATGTTCTTTCTTCCTGAGTGTCCGTGAAGAGGCTCAGATCACACGTCACATTAGCATCTTCACAGCAGAGCGTCCATTATCACTGACACCATCAAAGAGACACCAGGAGGCACCAGCGACAGCGCAACAGGACCACACCACATCAGCCATAACAGTCGCTCTCTCTCTGGTCTGTCTCTGGTCTCTCTCTGGTCTCTCTCTGGTCTGTCTCTGGTCCCTCTCTGGTCTCTCTCTGGTCTCTCTCTGGTTTCTCTCTCTCTGGTCTCTCTCTGATCTCTCTCTGGTCCCTCTCTGGTCCCTCTCTGGTCCCTCTCTGGTCTCTCTCTGGTCTCTCTCTGGTCTCTCTCTGGTCTCTCTCTGATCTCTCTCTGGTTTCTCTCTGGTTTCTCTCTCTCTGGTCTCTCTCTGATCTCTCTCTGGTCCCTCTCTGGTCCCTCTCTGGTCTCTCTCTGGTCTCTCTCTGGTCTCTCTCTGGTCTCTCTCTGATCTCTCTCTGGTTTCTCTCTCTCTGGTCTCTCTCTGATCTCTCTCTGGTCTCTCTCTCTGGTCTCTCGCTGGTCTCTCTCTCTGGTCTCTCGCTGGTCTCTCTCTGGTCTCTCTCTCTGGTCTCTCTCTGGTCTCTCTCTGGTCTCTCTCTCTCTGGTCTCTCTCTGGTCTCTCTCTGGTCTCTCTCTCTGGTCCCTCTCTGGTCTCTCTCTGGTCCCTCTCTGGTCTCTCTCTGGTCCCTCTCTGATCTCTCTCTGGTCTCTCTCTGGTCTCTTTCTGGTCCCTCTCTGGTCCCTCTCTGGTCTCTCTCTGGTCCCTCTCTGGTCTCTCGCTGGTCTCTTTCTGGTCTCTCTCTCTCGTCTCTCTCTGGTCTCTCTCTGGTCTCTCTCTGGTCTCTCTCTGGTCTCTCTCTGGTCTCTCTCTGGTCTCTCTCTGGCCTCTCTCTGGTCTCTCTCTCTGGTCCCTCTCTGGTCTCTCTCTGGTCTCTCTCTCTGGTCTCTCTCTGGTCCTTCTCTGGTCTCTCTCTGGTCCCTCTCTGGTCCCTCTCTGGTCTCTCTCTGGTCCCTCTCTGGTCTCTCTCTGGTCTCTCTCTGGTCTCTCTCTCTGGTCCCTCTCTGGTCCCTCTCTGGTCTCTCTCT